AGGAGTTGGCGGCTGTGATTGCAGAGCTGTTGACCATTATCTTTGAAAACTCATGGTGATCAGGGGAAGTCCCGGACGACTGGAAAAAGGCTAATGTAGTGCCCATCTTTAAAAAAGAGAAGAAGGAGGATCCTGGGAACTACAGGCCAGTCAGCCTCACCTCAGTCCCCGGAAAAATCACGGAGCAGGTCCTCAAGGAATCAATCCTGAAGCACTTACATGAGAGGAAAGTGATCAGAAACAGTCAGCATGGATTCACCAAGGGAAGGTCATGCCTGACTAATCTAATGGCCTTCTATGATGAGATTACTGGTTCTGTGGATGAAGGGAAAGCAGTGGATGTATTGTTTCTTGACTTTAGCAAAGCTTTTGACACGGTCTCCCACAGTATTCTTGTCAGCAAGTTAAAGAAGTATGGGCTGGATGAATGCACTATAAGGTGGGTAGAAAGTTGGCTAGATTGTCGGGCTTAACGGGTAGTGATCAATGGCTCCATGTCTAGATGGCAGCCGGTATCAAGTGGAGTGCCCCAAGGGTCGGTCCTGGGGCCGGTTTTGTTCAATATCTTCATAAATGATCTGGAGGATGGTGTGGATTGCACTCTCAGCAAATTTGCGGATGATACAAAACTGGGAGGAGTGGTAGATACGGTGGTAGGTAGGGATAGGATACATAGGGACCTTGACAAATTGGATGATTGGGCCAAAAGAAATCTGATGAGGTTCAACAAGGATAAGTGCAGGGTCCTGCACTTAGGACGGAAGAACCCAATGCACCGCTACAGACTAGGGACCGAATGGCTAGGCAGCAGTTCTGCAGAAAAGGACCTGGGGTGACAGTGGACGAGAAGCTGGATATGAGTCAGCAGTGTGCCCTTGTTGCCAAGAAGGCCAATGGCATTTTGGGATGTATAAGTAGGGGCATAGCCAGCAGATCGAGGGACGTGATCGTTCCCCCTATTCGACATTGGTGAGGCCTCATCTGGAGTACTGTGTCCAGTTTTGGGCCCCACACTACAAGAAGGATATGGATAAATTGGAGAGAGTCCAGCGAAGGGCAACAAAAATGATTAGGGGTCTGGAACACATGACTTATGAGGAGAGGCTGAGGCAACTGGGATTGTTTAGTCTGCAGAAGAGAAGAATGAGAGGAGATTTGATAGCTGCTTTCAACTACCTGAGAGGTGGTTCCAAAGGGGATGGTTCTAGACTATTCTCAGTGGTAAGATGACAGGACAAGGAGTAATGGTCTCAAGTTGCAGTGGGGGAGGTTTAGGTTGGATATTAGGAAAAACTTTTTCACTAGGAGGGTGGTGAAACACTGGAATGCGTTACCTAGGGAGGTGTTAGAATCTCCTTCCTTAGAATTTTTTAAGGTCAGGCTTGACAAAGCCCTGGCTGGGATGATTTAATTGGGGATTGGTCCTGCTTTGAGCAGGGGGTTGGACTAGATGACCTCCCGAGGTCCCTTCCAACCCTGATATTCTATGATTCTATGATCAGTTGTAGCTAAATTAGCCCCCATCATATTGTATGTATAGTTGGGTTATTTTTTCCAAAGTGCATTACTTTACATTTATCCACATTAAATTGCATTTGCCATTTTGTTGCCCAATTCCTTAGTTTTGTAAGATCTTTCTGACATTCTTCACAGTCTGTTTTGGTCTTAACTATCTTGAGCAGTTTAGTATCATCTGCAAACTTTGCCACCTCACTCTTTATCCCTTTCTCCAGATCATTTATCATTGTCGAGGCTTGGGCTGTGACCTTTGTGGTCCTCATAGATTGGGCCTGCTCAGTTAACAGTTCTAAGAATTCTCCTCTCCTTCAGGCTGGTGGACAGGGCGGTTGGGGAAGTGCAGGAGCAGCTTTCATTGATTTTCCGAGTGCTTCTTGCCAAGGCACAGCCCAACACTGAGATCCGGGCTGACGTTGCAGTCCAATACAAGGTAAAATCTAGGCTTCTAGGCTATACTTCCCCTAAAGGAGGAGCCTAACTAACTGCCCTAACAATGGTCGCCGTGGCTTTTCCTGGGGCACATAGAACAGCAGCGACAATGAAGATGCTGATGGTGGGAAACCCATGAACCTTGTCACTCTAGACTATGGAGCCTTTCAAGCTCTCTGCCTTTTTTCCCTTTCCCAAGGGAGAGTGAGACGCAAACCAGCAGGCTGTGGGGAGCTATGGAAGAGCACAGTCAGTGTTTTGGGGGGGATGAGAGCCCTCTCTCAGCTCTGCCTCTCTCATCCCCCCCAAATCATTGACTGTGCTCTTCCAGGGCATTGTTTGCTCTCCCCACACCTTCCCCACTAGCCTCCCTTCGACGGGGAGGAAAAGAGAAGAGCACCAGGCTGCAAGAGCAACTGTTTCCATGCAGTGATAGTACAGAGGACTTTGTTCCGGAGTCAGACACTGACAGTTCAAAGCTACTTGCAGGAGTCAATTGCAGCCCCACAGGGTGGAGGGCTGCAGCCAAACAGGCCAGACCAGTGGGCCCACTGTCTCTACCGGGGCCAGTTCTAGCAGCTTCAGAGGCAGGTGTACAATGCCCACAACTCTGCAGTGACGTGCCCCCTGGGGAGAAAGGGTGGGGGGAAGGGATTCTTAAACCCATTTCAAACAGGAGTGATTTGGCAGTTGGAAATCAAAAACCCATAACAAAAAAAATCCAACTGGGAGAAGCTCATATACTAGGACCGTGAAACAGCGTCTTAAAACTAGCCATGCTGTCAGCAGGGTTCTGCAAGCTCAGCAGCAGAGCAACAACGATCCTACATCTCACAGACATGGCACCTTTCAGTCAGACAACTCAAAATGCTTCACAAACACTGGCCTTGATTCTTCAGGGTCACATGCTGGTGTAAGTGACCCCAGCATAAAGCAGGGATAAGAGAATGGAGGCTGAGGCCCAGGAACTGTAACCCGTTCAAGAGGCTGGTCCACCAGAGGAAATAGCCTACTACTGCTACCACCTTTGCTTAAGTGGGGGAGATCTGTGCTGTGTTGTTGAAGGGCCTGTGTTCAGATCCTGAGGCGGCCATAAGCACCCCTGATTTTGGTTTTGGAAAATCCTATTGATGAGCTTTAACAAAGCTAACCTCTCCCCTCTTTATTTGCCATGCTCTAGTTCAGGGGTTTTCAACCTTTTTTTGGGGGGGCCCCTAACATGCTATAAAAATTTCATGCCCCACCTGTGCCACAACGTTTTCTGCATATCCAGTAGATTAAAAGCCAGGACCAGGGTTCGGGGGTAGCAAGCAGGGCAGTTGCCTACCAGGGCCCCACGCCACAGGGGGCCCCACAAAGCTAAGCTGCTCGGGCTTCGATTTCAGCCCCCGGTGGTGGGGCTCGGGCTTTGGCTTTCTGCCCTGGGCCCCAGCAAGTCTAACACCGGCCCCTCTCTGGTTTACTTTGATTGACCCCCTGAAATCTGCTCAAGGCCCTCCTGGGGCTCCCGGACTCCTGGTTGAGAACCACTGCTCTAGTTAAAAGTTTGCAAGGGTAGAGAGGTGAGGTTCCATCCATCCAATCCTGCAACTGCAGGAACAGAGGCTGGTGACTCCAGTAACAAAAACTCACTGTACAGAACGAACTTTGAATTTATATCAGTCAACAGCTTCAGGTTTACAAGTGAATTAAATCCAGGATGTTCGAAAGGCATAAGTGAGTTGTCCCCATGTAAGAATGGGATTTGCAAAAATCAGTGACCTAGAAAATTCAGACCTGCCAACCCTCACTGTTTTCCAGTGAGTCTTGATTGTTTATGTGTTAAGAGGCTCACACAACCTCCTACCTCCAAGGACGTCTCAGGTTTCACTGCACTCAGCTCTGTTAACTCTTTAGGCCTGGCAAGAGAAAATCCAAGCACCGCACTAAAAAGAATGCATAGTAACTCAGACATGGATTATTCGTGAGGATCTCTGGGGAGAAATGGTTACAGCTGTGCAGGAAGCTCTGAACATAACCTAACAGGATGTCACACTCGTCTGGTCTGGGTTGCATCATAAAGTCAAGACTTGGGCCAAGTTCACTGAAAGGTTCATTCAGGTGCATGAGTCATTCAGTGGAATCTTGGCCTAGCTTTGATCAAGCCTTGGCTGATGATGGGTTTAATTTCAAAAACTAGTGACACGAGTCAAATTCAAATCTCTTTCACTTTGTGCTGCAAGCTTCTTTCTGGATCAAACCTTAAAGCCTGGTTCTTGCCGGGGGAGAGGGATGCAAACCCACACAAAGCAAAACCAAAAAAGAGTTGGCATGAACATTTGCAAACTGACACAGTCCAGCTGTGGGAATGAGGTACAAAGAGAGAAAGACAGACAGACTAAGGAGAGGATATACTGGCCTCTGACGTAACAGGTGAACCTCAAAAAATCTGGAGCAGAGATGAGGCTGTATTGCAAGATTCTGCTATGGATCTGAATTTCAGCAACGTTTTTGGGTCAGGTCTTGGATTCAGCACTCTCCCTCCTTTTAGGGTGACCAGATAGCAAGTGGGAAAAATTGGGATACTTTTTTTTTCCAGAGGATAGAGGGCAAATAGTTGCATATAAAAGACAAAGTCCCTAATAGTAGGACAGTCCCGATAATAGCAGGAGATCTGGTCACCCTATCTCCTTTAGAGTTCCTGTTTATATTCACTCTTATTTGAACCTCTGTGGTTTAAAAATCTGGCTGGAAATCTCATTAGCATAGATTCCCCTCCCCTCCCCCCACGAGTTTTCTGGTGCTGCCTGACTCCAGATAGGCTGGCAATACCACAACCAAGGAATTTCTGGTACTTTCCACCTTTGATCCCAGGTGAATCCAGGTGTATGAAAAATGCGGTGAGGCGAGGATGTTAACCAAACGTTTGTGAACTATCAAAAAAGGTTCAGGGTTGAATGGAGCTTCCGCTCTGATCTTATTTTACCTGCACCAATTAATGAATGTCTGAGCACCCCAGAAAAACACAGGCACGTATGGGCATCTGAGTCTGGACACGTTGGCCAAAGCGCATGTGAACTATGGGCTGTAAGGTTCAGACTAACCCACGTACTGTGTCTTTAAACAGAGTGAGAAGGCCAAAGGGCAGGGACAGCAGGGAGTAACCAGTTCAGCCAGAGAGTTGTCACACATGGCAGTGCTCCCGGACAGGCTCTGTGCATTGGGAGGGATTGTCTGGGGTTTAGTCACTGCACTGTATCACAGGCGGATGCACTGGGCACTCAGCCCAGGTCCACCCTGCCCCTCACAAGGTGTTGTGTGCGACTTGCCAGAGGGCTGATGAATACACACTTCCGCTTACAGGCTCAGCCCCCCGCTCTGTCACACCTGTAAGCTGTCGCACAGCAGCACCTGAGCACACTTGCGCCCTTAGGACAGCAGCTGGGCTGGAGTCACATATAGGAGCCGAGAACAGACCTGAGCCACTGCACAGAAGCTGAGGGAGAATTAGAGAAGGGAGCCTGGAGCTATCCTGTACCCCTTGGCAGAGGCCGGGAGAGTCAGAGAGAAGCCCTGATCTGAGTGCCAAGCAGCAAGTTCCTCTTGTACCTCTGAGCCTCCCGCTCCCTTCCTTTGCCCTGCAGGCCTGGGGGAGATGAGCATTTCATCTGAGCACCGATCCCTGGGGAAACAAGTCACGAGCAGTCTACAAACGGTGAGGGGGCTTGGCAATCTTCTGCCTGGTGGGGGTCTCAGCAGTTTGGGGGTGGGAACAGCATCCTCCTTTGCCCCATTCTGGATGTTATGCTGCTTTTAGCCTGCTTGCCATTTCTGAGACGCAGGGGTCAGCCAGCACCCAGAGATATGACCCAGAGGTGACTGTATGAAAAGCCTTTAGTTCCAGTTTGATCACATTGTCCATTCTGAGCATAATGGTGCCTCCAACTTAGACTCAAGAGTTCTGGCAATGACACGGCCTGCACTCGGCAGTGATTTCTGCTCCTGAACTGAAGGGTTTAACTTGTATTTGTTGGAAAATTTAAAAAAAACAAAAACGCAAGCTTTTCTTGCTCGATGGGGTATTATATAGTTGACAATTGCAAGGAAGTTATCCTAGCATTTTAGATTTGCAGAACATTGACACCAGACCAGAATAGCAGGTTTGCTAATTCACGCTAATGTTAAGGACACCTAGGTCAGGTCTACACTAGGAAATTAGCTTGGTATACCTACATTGCTCAGAGTATGAAAAATCCACATCCTTGAGTGACACAGTTAAATCGACCTAACCCCTGGTGTGGACAGCGCTAAGTCAGCAGGAGAATTCACCTCTCGGGGAGGCAGAGTACCTACGTGCACAGCGTAGGTAGCCTCTTCACTGAAGTGCTACAGTGGCATAGCTGGAGTGTTTTAAGTGTAGACTTGCCCTTAGTGAGAGTCCCCAATAATAATACCCAGCTGGTATATAACGCTTGTCATCAGGAGATTTCCAAGTGCTTTACAAAGGAAGTCAGTATCACAATCCCCATTTTATAGATTAGGAAACTGAGGCACGGAGCTGGGACGTGACTTGTCCAAGGCCAACCAGCAGGCCAGTGGCAGAAGCAGGACTACAACCTAGGTCTCCTGAGTCCAAAGCCAATGCTCTAGCCACTAGACCACATTACCAAGGGTTACTAATTAGTGAGTTGTAAAACGTGTTCATTTCCTTTGACAGAGTAGTTTGCTGTTAGTCATTGATGACAACCCTTTGTAAAGGTTTCTGTAAAAAGAGCGAAGGCTCAGCAGTACAAGACCTCGCTTCCCAGCCCTGCTGTTTGATCTTTGCTGGGAAGTGGGGTGAAATTGCTAGTTTTCAGGTGGGACTTACTGAGTTTGTGGGCTAGTGTAAAAACATTAAGTGAGGTTCCACTATATAAGTATTGTTGGGTCTTGGTCTCCTTTTCCTGCACCTGGCATAGTCATTTACACCTCTGTCAGGTGGGTGAAAATAATTCCCAATTGGAATGACACCATTGTACACCCACTTTGCTTTGGTGTAAATGACTGTGCAAGGTGCAGGGCAATGGAGAATCAGGCCCTTTTTATTTCACTGTTCCTTGGACCTAAGCTTATATGTAACCTTCATGTTCCCCCTACATTTTCTGGCTACAGGCTCAATCCTGAGCACCTGGGCCCTGACCTAGCAAAGCACTTTAAGCTTGCAGTTAGTTCTGCTGGAGTTGATCCTTACATGATCAAGCCCTATGTGGACAAAAAAGAGCAGATGAGCTACAACAGGAAATCAGTTTTGTGCCTGATGCTTTCCCAGCAGCTAGGTGTGGTTGTAGCAGTTTAGAGCACATGACTTGCATTCCAGCAGTAATTGTGTTAGAGAACACAAACCTGCTTGGTTCCTGACTTTTAAATAAACAAGAAAACCATCCTTCCCCCCACACACGCTTTGCTGCACTGAGCACTGAATAAAGTGGCTCTGCAGAAGATGTCACTTTTTCATCACTCAGCCCTGGGGATATTGTGCTGCTGGAGGAGCCATCAGAAGTAACTAGTCTACACTGGCAACGCTAAAGGACTGCCACGGCAGCACTTTAACGTGGCGTGTGTGGTCACAGCGCAGCACCGGGAGAGAGCTCTCCCAGCGCTCTGAAAAAACCATCTCCCCGAGGGGCACGGCTCCCCGTGCTGGTGCACTGTCTACGCTGGTGCTTTACAGCGCGGAAATTTGCTGCGCTCAGGGTGTTTTTGCCGGTGTAGACCAGGCCTAAGATTGTGACCTCTCTGGGCATTCAAGGATCCCATGGCATTTTTCACAAAAGTGATGACATTATGGCCTGCAGAAATTCAAATTTGAGTAAGTTCCCCTGTAGTGTTAGGTTGCCATATTCTTCTTCACTTCATGGCCTAAACGCTATGGGAAAGGTTTAGGCTGCCTTGATAAACAGCTGTTATCTTCCACCCCAGAAACGGCGGCATTTCAGTGGTGCATGATCAGCTAATCTGGTCCAGTTTTGGGATTTATAACAATGCCCCAAAATAGGTAAAACTAATTTGGGGTTTTGTTACTAAAATTTCACACAGCTCTTGTCCCAGCTCTTAAGGGAAAACCCAAATTAAGGGGAGAGGAAAATAAAACTTTAGTTATTAATACTGTAACAAATCCTTGGTTGTCCTCATGCTTGTTGCTATCACCTCAATGAAACTTCACAATAGCAGGGAGCGACCTCAGCACTTTCTGTTCCCAAGGCATAGGCCTCTATCACGTGAGCTAATGGGAAATGCAAAGAGACAGAATGGTCCAGCAGTTAGGGCACTCATCTGAAATCCAAGTTCAAGTCCCTGTGTGACCTTGGCCAAGTCACTTACTCTCTCTGTGCCTCAGCTTCCTAACTCTAAAATGAGGATAATGGCACTTCCCTACCTCACAGGGGTGTTGTGTGGAGAAATCCATTACAGAATGTGAGCTGCTTAGATATTATGGCAATGGGAATCATATAAGTATCTTAGACAGACTCTTGCTTAGCTATTAGCAGGATATGAACTCAGATGCAGAGGTGAGCAGTTCTGAGCCCATCCACTCGGGGGCAGTGACACACTAGCCAGTTAATTCCAATTCCCCACTGCTCTGACATGTAATGGGTGTGGTATTTTCCCACTGTGATTGCAGCTGTCACCGATCGTGGAGTTAAACATTGGCGGGGAGGTGTACACAACAACGCTAAGCACCCTGAAGAAACACCCTGGCTCCAAGCTGGCAGAGATGTTTACTGGCCAGCCCAAGCTCAGGACTGACTCAGAGGGGAGGTTCTTCATTGACAGGCCAGGCACCTATTTTAAGTACATCTTGGAATACCTCCGCAGTAACCAGGTGCCCACCCAGTGCATCCAGGATGTGTATAAAGAGGCATTGTTCTATGACATTGAGCCTCTGGTCAAGCAGCTGGAGGACTCCCCTCAGATTTTTGGGGAGGTGGTGGCAAGGAAGCAGTTTCTGGCCCACGTGCCCAACTACAACGAGAACATTGAGCTGATGATTCGCATTGCCAGGGCGGAGGCGGTAGCCTCCCGCCAGTCCAGCGTCACAGTGTGTGTGGTCAGGACCGAGGAGGATGCAGCCAAGTGTCATGACACCCTGAACAGCTTGGACATGGATAAGAAATCTGTGGTGAAGTTTGGCCCTTGGAAGGCAACGCCGAGCATTTCTGACCTGTTGGATTGCATTAAAATGGACATTGAAGCCAAAGGATACAAGATTTCCTTCCAGCCCCACGTCACGGAGAAAGGCTTCCGGATCAAATCCTACGTCTTCTTCTACAAATTTCTGTTCACCTGGTGGTAGCAAAAGGGAAGGGTTGGCAGTGATTTTTAAATGGCTATTAAAATAAATAGACTTCTGTTGTTTAAATATAGAAAATCTCTCAGAGATCAGATTCTGGAATCTGGCCAAACTGCACACCTCACAAGTTGAGATGTGTGTGCAACGGGAGTGTAAATCCTCCCCGCCCCCATGCTATTCCAAAACTGAGTCTATCGTGTACAGGCCTGGTCTTCCAGTGTAAGTCAGAGCAGCCTTAGACTGATTGCTAACAGCCCCAAGGGGCTGAAACCACATTCAGGGGACCAGAGCAGTAGAGGGTGTCATCCTCTTTACTCTGACCTCATTCTGTGTAAACAGCCAGAGCTGCGGGTAGTGTAGTCTCTACACCACCTCTGGGGCAATCGTCCTGGGACTGAGTTAACCCGTTTTACAGCCAGAAACAGCTGTCAGTGCAGTGCAAAGTAGCCACATTGGAGGATCTGGTACAGAATTTTTACTGTTGCTACACATATACAATAATAGGCAGAACGAACTTTGCTTGGCTTCCAGATCCCAGGTCATGTTTGCAGTACTGGGGGGAAATCATCTTTGTAAAAAGAAAAGGAGGACTTGTGGCACCTTAGAGACTAACCAATTTATTTGAGCATAAGCTTTCGTGAGCTACAGCTCACTTCATCGGATGCATACTGTGGAAAGTGTAGAAAATCTTTTTATATACACACAAAGCATGAAAAAATACCTCCTCCCACCCCACTCTCCTGCTGGTAATAGCTTATCTAAAGTGATCACTCTCCTTACAATGTGTATGATAATCAAGGTGGGCCATTTCCAGCACAAATCCAGGGTTTAACAAGAACGTCTGGGGGGGGGGGTAGGAAAAAACAAGGGGAAATAGGTTACCTTGCATAATGACTTAGCCACTCCCAGTCTCTATTCAAGCCTAAGTTAATTGTATCCAATTTGCAAATGAATTCCAATTCAACAGTTTCTCGCTGGAGTCTGGATTTGAAGTTTTTTTGTTGTAATACAACTTTCATGTCTGTAATCGCGTGACCAGAGAGATTGAAGTGTTCTCTGACTGGTTTATGAATGTTATAATTCTTGACATCTGTTTTGTGTCCATTTATTCTTTTACGTAGAGACTGTCCAGTTTGACCAATGTACATGGCAGAGGGGCATTGCTGGCACATGATGGCATATATCACATTGGTGGATGTGCAGGTGAACAAGCCTCTGATAGTGTGGCTGATGTTATTAGGCCCTGTGATGGTGTCCCCTGAATAGATATGTGGGCACAGTTGGCAACGGGCTTTGTTGCAAGGATAGGTTCCTGGGTTAGTGCTTCTGTTGTGCTGTATGTGGTTGCTGGTGAGTATTTGCTTCAGGTTGGGGGGTTGTCTGTAGGCAAGGACTGGCCTGTCTCCCAAGATTTGTGAGAGTGTTGGGTCATCCCTCAGGATAGGTTGTAGATCCTTAATAATGCGTTGAAGGGGTTTTAGTTGGGGGCTGAAGGTGACGGCTAGTGGCGTTCTGTTATTTTCTTTTTTAGGCCTGTCCTGTAGTAGGTGACTTCTGGGAACTCTTCTGGCTCTATCAATCTGTTTCTTCACTTCCGCAGGTGGGTATTGTAGTTGTAAGAATGCTTGATAGAGATCTTGTAGGTGTTTGTCTCTGTCTGAGGGGTTGGAGCAAATGCGGTTGTATCGCAGAGCTTGGCTGTAGACGATGGATCGTGTGGTGTGGTCAGGGTGAAAGCTGGAGGCATGTAAGTAGGAATAGCGGTCAGTAGGTTTCCAGTATAGGGTGGTGTTTATGTGACCATCGTTTATTAGCACTGTAGCGTCCAGGAAGTGGATCTCTTGTGTGGACTGGACCAGGCTGAGGTTGAGCATAAGCTTTCGTGAGCTACAGCTCACTTCATCAGATGCATACTGTGGAAAGTGTAGAAGATCTTTTTATATACACACAAAGCATGAAAAAATACCTCCTCCCACCTCACTCTCCTGCTGGTAATAGCTTATCTAACGTGATCACTCTCCTTACAATGTGTATGATAATCAAGTTGGGCCATTTCCAGCACAAATCCAGGTTTTCTCACCCCCCACTTTAGATAAGCTATTACCAGCAAGAGAGTGGGTTGGGAGGAGGTATTTTTTCATGCTTTATGTGTATAAAAAGATCTTCTACACTTTCCACAGTATGCATCCGATGAAGTGAGCTGTAGCTCACGAAAGCTTATGCTCAAATAAATTGGTTAGTCTCTAAGGTGCCACAAGTACTCCTTTTCTTTTTGCGAATACAGACTAACATGGCTGTTACTCTGAAACCCATCTTTGTAAAGCAGCAAATCAGGTCTGGAAGTGTCATTGAGAGAGGAATAAATATGGGAGTACACCAAGTCCTTAGTCTGAATATAGCTTCACTCTTAAGGGTACTTCTGCTCTTGGAGCTAGGGACGGGGTGTGTGATTCCCAGCTCGAGGAGAATACCCATGCCAGCTCTGATTGAACTAGCATGCTCAAAGTACAATGTAGTGAGAGTGGCAGAAGGGGCTAACTGCCCTGAGGACATGCCCCTCTGAGGCCCTAGAAACATTCTCAGGGCGGCTAACCCATCCCGCAGCTTGCCCTGCCATGGCTACCGTCTGTTTTTGGTGGACTAGCTCAGTGGGAGTTCACACAGGTATGACTCCTCGAGGGGGGAATCACACAGCCCCAGCTGCCAGGGCAGACATACTCACTGGTCTCTCAGCTACATCTGCGTATGATCAATTATATGACTTCAGTTGAAGGAGTTATATAAGCACATGCAACTCAGTGACTGATGGTGAACTTTGGGGCAAGTGGGGCATAGCAGAAACCCCCAGGGCTCCCCCACACCACAATGCTCCCCTTCCCCGACTTAGTCCCAGAACTCTGGGTGCTCTTCTCTTCCCCGTCATTCCCACCTTGCTTAGCCCTGGCCTCTTAAGTCTCCTCCCTGCTCCCTCCCTTCACCTGAATTCCTCCTTACTCCCCCAGCCACACTTCCCCATTAGTCCCAAGCCCCTGAGGCTTCTTCACCTCCTAGGCCTGGAGTGACTGACAAGATTTACCCACTCACCAGAGTGGATCTTCTCCTGAGCCTCTTGCCTTTCTTCTTGATTTTCTGGGGCCTCCCACAGCTCCTTGTCAAATTCTCCTGCCGCTTCTCCTCTCCAACAGACTGTGCAGTCAAGATCTGAGAGGAAGCAAGTGGTGGGGATTTTGAGTGGGGTTTGTGGTGCTGAATTCACTGCCCTTCTCTGAATAACTGCAGAGTGCTCTGAAGCCTTTGGTGGGGGTGGGGCAGCGCCCTGACGCCCTCTATACATGAGCTGCCACTGAACCCACTGGCAGCTGCGCTCGCTCATGCCAAGGCAAAATTTGGCCCTCTGCTGAGAAAACCAATGCTCTAGGACAGTGGTTCTTAACCTGGTCCATACCAGGACCTTGTGTTAAAACAGATAAGGTTTCAGGACCCCTACCTCTCCTCTAGCTGTAAAGAAAAAGGGTGTCAATGCCCAGGTTGACAACCCATTCTCTAGCAAATATTAATTATTATTATTATTATTATTTGTATTGTGGTAGCACTAGGAGCCCCAGTCATGAACCAGGTCCCCATTGAGCTAGGTGTTATACAAACACAGACCAAAAAGATGGTGTCTGCCCCAAAGGTTTTCCAGTTTAAGTTGAAGGTGTTCTACTTCTTAATGCAGCAGTGTTTAGCTATTTTTTGTGCCATCTCTTTGAGTGCTACCAATGAATATATGCATCAGGAGACATAATGAAACCCCACAATGATTATTAGATGGAAGAGTCTCATAAGGTACTTCCAATAGTACAAACTACAGCCCAGTTCCTACAGTCGCTACTAAAGCAAAACTCCCTTCAACTTCCGTAAAATTTTGCCTGAGTAGGGGGTGCTGGATTGGGTCCTCTATTGTTTTTTAAAACCTTAATATTCACAAATTTATTTTTTATTTATTTTTATACTCAAGACAGCTGATGATTTTCAATTATTTACTACTCCAGGGATATCTGAAAATCATATTGGTTATTCTAGATCATGGTTATGTTTACTTTTGCTCTTGAAATATGGGTTGCCTCCTATAAAGGACAATATGTGTTTTGGGATACTAATTAAATACACTTTTAAAAGCCTCTTTGCATAGTATAAATTTACCTTCTTTATTATCCCCTTAAAAACCCACAAAGCTTTCCTTATACACTACTGGGTTAGAATCTATCTTCATGAAATGTAGTATAAAAGGCCTACATCCTGGTTATTGCTCTTCCAGTGGTGTAAATCAGGACTGACTTCATTGAAGTCAGTGCAGTTACACTGTGTAAAACTGGTGTAAGTGTGAGAAGCTTCAGCCCCCTAAAATTCTGAAGGCTTGGGCAAGATTTTTAAAAGTGACTAATGATTTTGTGTGCCCAAAATCACTTAAAGGGGCCTGATTCTCAGAAAGTGCTGAGCACCCACTATCACTGGTCACTTTTGAAAATTTCTGCCCTGATCCACTATGCTCTGCCTTATGCATTTAGTTCTCGGGGAGTTCCGTACCCAAGGCCTGTTCCAATGCCCATTGAAATAACAGCCTCCCTTGACTTCAATGGTCAAAGAACCCGATCCTGAGATGTACCACCCTCCTTCAACTCCCACTGTAGTCAATGGGAGTTGAGGGCACTCAACCCTTCTCTGGTTCTGGTTCTAGCTCAGTGCTAGTAAAACGTTTGCAAACCAAAGCCAAAAGCACATGAAACATACTCAGTTTGGGGTCTGATTACAAACTTAAAACACAGCTCAGGTTGGGGGATAACACATCCCAAACACAGAATTAAAACTGCTTTTTGGGGGGAAAAATTATTTCTAGACATTATTGGGCCAAATTCACATATCACTGGTGCAACTCTACTGACTTCAGTGGGTTCACACAGGAATGACTAGTGTATAGAAATCTAATCTCTTCAAAGAAAGAGAGAGAGATATGAGCCTGAATCAACCTCTCAGAACTGAACACCTCCAAACTTTGTGGAAGAAATGGGTTCAGAATCCGTACTCAGATCCAGAACTAATGTCTGACCCCTATTTCTTTGGGAGGCAGGGAACTTGAAGTCTGGGTCCCTTTTTAGTTCTTGTATTCACAAAAGGCTACAGTTAAAGATATTGAACTTCAATGGGAAGCTTTTTCCACCCCCTCCTGACTTCAGCAAAACCAAATGCATCCCCATGACATTTTGCATGCCACATCTCAGACCAGGACAGAATTTTTCTGGAAAGTTTGGGTCACTTTATATAACTTCAAATCTTTCCGTTTGGGGGAAAAAAAGGTAAACTCCAGATAGTTAAGTATGTCTAATTGCTGCCTGAACCTTTGCAGATGGGCAAGGCCAGGACAGCTCAAGCAAATATGTTTCACCCTTATTTACCTAACCTACATCAAATACTTAAGAAACACAATTAAAGATAGTTCTCCTGCCACAGTACAATAGTAAATCTCATAGACTGCTATCCTAGAATTTGAAAGGCATATTGTATAAAGAAATCAGTAAAACCAGTCTTGGCATGAAGCAAGGCAGTTTTTTATATATTTTAACATTTTTAACTGCACCTTCTGGCTACTCTCAGAGTACATTTGCAGGTACTTATGAAAACATGTTATTGAGAACAATAACAGGAGTGAATTTCCCTTCTATATCACTAAATTGAACTGAAATACTCTCCCCACAGAGAAATTCAGCCTGGAAATAAGGCTTACATTTTTAATAGTAAAAACAACTAGGAGTCCTTGTGGCACCTTGTTGTTTTTGCTGATACTGACTAACACGGCTACCCCTCTGAAACCGGTCATTTTTAATAGTAAGCATAATCAGCAACTGGAATAATTTCTCAAAGGTTGTGGTGGATCCTCCATCATTGGCAAAGTTTAAATCACAATTGGATGTTTTTTCTAAAAGATCTGCTCAATTCAAACAGGAATTATTTGTGGGACGTCCTACACCCTGTGTTACACAGGAGGTCAGATCAGATGATCACAATGGTCCTTTCTGGCCTTGGAATCTATGACTCTGTGACAGAGGTCCCCAAACTGTGGGGTGTAACCCCCTGGGGGGCAGCAGAGGAACACTTGGGGGTGGTGCGAAAGCTGGGCTAGTGCCCACAGGGGGTGGGGAGGGAGTGCCACCCAGCCCCCAGCTCTGCTCCAGCCCCGTTCCCAGTTGCAGCCCTGGCTCCCAACCCCATGCCTGACCCTGTCCCCAGCCTCGGCACGGCTCTGCACATGGCCTGAATGTGGCCCTGCTGCAGCTCTGCTCCTGGTTCTGCTCCCACTCCCAGCCTTGGTCCCTGGCCATGGCTCCTTCCCTGGCCCCAGACTCACCGCCAACTGCAGCCCCAGCCTCAGCCCTCTTACCTCTTTCCCTGCCCCCCCCCCCCCGAATCACAGCCCCACTCCTTTCCTCAAAAGTTTGGGGACAGTGCTTTATGTGGTCACGCCACTAAGGCAACAGCCTGAGGAAACGTCTGGAAGGAAATAACAATTCGGGCCCCTCTGGGACCATCAAGGGAATAAATTTGTTACTGACACATACACAGCACCCAATACATTAAAAGGGGTAGATATAGAAATCTATTTGTGTGGTAACAAAAGACCCAATGAATTAAAAAAAAAATCTTTCAGAAAATTAAAAATGTGAATGTGAAGTTAGATTTTTTTTTTATCTCATAGAGCTGGAAGGAATCTTGAAGGTCATTGTGTCCAGTCCCCTGCCTTTACAGCAGGACCAAGTACTATCCCTTATTTTTGCCCCAGATCCCTAAATGGCCCCCTCAAGAATTGAACTCACAACCCTGGGTTTAGCATACCAATGCTCTAACCATTGAGCTATCCCTCCCCCGCCCCAATCCTAAGTGCTACTGATTTGCCCCAGCTGAGAATCTGGCATGGGATCCTGATCTGCACTACAGGGGCCCACGGAAGCCACTTATCAAAACAGATGCACCGAATAGTCTAGAATAGAGGTTCTCAAACTGTGGTCCATGGACCACCACCAGTGGTCTGTGAGCTCCATTCAGGTGGTCCGTGGATAGTTCCCTCTAAGGTGTGTGCCTGGGAGGCTGCACATGAAAGAATGGTCACCCACCTAATTAGTGGAGCCGAGCAGGCGGGGTTCCACTAACTAGATGCTTGGACCCTGAAAAAGATGCACAGGTAAGGTAAGATGGTGGCGTTGGGGGGAATAGGGAGTAGGTGGGACAGGGCAGTGGGGTGAGAAGACAGGGTGGGGGGAATTTGGGATGTGCAGGGCTGTAGCAGCCAGAGAAAGAGATGACTTTCCCCAGCTCCAGGGCTGTGGCTGCCGGGAAGAGACGGCCCTCCTTCCTAGCCCCAGCTCGGGGGCTGCAATGGCAGGGGGGAGAGGGCACATCCATCACATTAGAAAGGTAAGACTACTGATATTAAAATATGAGTTTTGTGCTTTTACTTGTAGAAGAAAAAAGTTAATTATTTTTAATACAGTGCTTTTATCGAAAGCACTTTACAATAGTTATCTCACGGTACAAACATTTGGAAAGATCATTAAGTGGTCTGCCGAGACCCTCAGCAATTTTCAAGTGGTCCGCGGAAAAAAAAAAGTTTGAGAACTACTAGTTTAGAAATTGAAGGGTGGCTTGGTATGATTCCCTTCGCTGAGCTGGAGTCACCACTTCCCCGGCCCCTGCTGATTCAGCCCTGCTGGGGTCGCTTTGTTTTTCCTGGGGCTCACGCTTCCGAGCAGTGTGAGTCGCATCCAGCCGCGTGTGTGAGCCGCACGTGGCCGTGCTGGGACTGGCACCCGGCTCTCCTGGCTCCCGGCCCAGTGCTTTAGCCCAGGGACTGTGCACCCTCCCACTAGCAGGGTGGCTTTCCTAGCTCCAGGCACTCCCAGTGAAGGGCAGCCCCCGGGCTGGGGCCAGCTCAGGGCACCGCCTCCTGGTGCTGGCCTGAGCCTGCCCCACTGACTTAAGGCCACTGTAACCCCGAGGAGTCTGGCGGCACCTTAAGGACGAACAGATTTATTTGGGCACAAGCTTTCTTGGGTGAAAAAACCACTTCTTCAGATGCACCCACCAAGGCCACTGGAGGAGCTCCAGCCCCACACAGGCCTCTCCCCAGCCTGAGAGTCCCTGGCCATAGAGAGGAGACCTCCAGGTGTCTAGGAAGGACAGTTTCCCTTCCCCGTCATCTTCAGCATCTCTATGGTTTCGTTTCCGGGTGAGGGGGAAGGAGAAGGAGGGCACGGCACGGCACGGCGGCGGAGGCGGCTCACGCCCTGCTGAAGGCGAACGGCGGCGGGGGTGGCGGGGCACAGCATGGCGGCGCACCTGAAGAAGCGGGTGTATGAGGAGTTCACTAAGGTCGTCCAGGTAAAGGGCGAAGTCTGGAGCACGGAAGGGGGACTCCTCGGGGGAGGGGGCCGGGCCCCTGCCCGAGCAGGGCGACTCCTGGGCGGCCTGGGGTTGCAGGAAAGCCCGCTGGAAGCCTGAGGCCTAGCACTGAAGGGCCTCCCGGTCCCAACCCTGGATCCGGGAGAGGCCTCAGGGCCCGCAGGTGGCTACTGCTCCCCTGGAGCCTCTCTTGCTGGGAGGGCCGCACAGGGGAGCCGGGCAGCTGCCAGCCCCGCCGGGGACCCCTTCGGGGTGTGGGTGTGTGTGGGGGGGGGTCCCCCCGTGAGGGCCCAAGGGACCCCTCCAAGCGGTGGGCCTACTGGCAAAGGGCGGCGGGGGCTGGGGTTAGCCGCACAGACCCGGCGGCTCCCCGCTGTTCTGGCGTCCCGCCTCACGCCGTGTCATGGCTCCGCAGCAGCAGCACGAAGAGATCTCCGCCAAGAAGCTGCGGCTGACCAAGCCCAGTAAATCGGCGGCGCTCCACGTAGATCTGTGTAAGGCCACTTCGCCGGCAGATGCTCTGCAGTATCTGCTTCAGTTTGCCAGGAAACCAGTGGAGGCGGAAAGCGTGGAAGGAGTTGTCAGGATCTTGCTGGAGCATTACTACAAGGTAGGGAAATAGGGTCTGGGGAGCAACCTGCATGACACGCGAAGCAGCAGGAAGTGGAAGCCCATTTGTACGGTTATATTTCCTGACATGGCTCTTGTTGGAGGGATGTGTGGCTCACGCATTTGAAGATAGCATGTGGAGTCCCTAAGAGGACACAGGGTTTTGGAGCGAACTTCCCCAGGCTGGGTTGACAGACTTGGGTTAGCCGGGCTCCTGCTAATAAAATAACTGTATAGATAGTGCTTTGAAGTTGCTGCTTGGGATCTGAAGTGTAGGGAGGTGGATGAACTTTAGAGCACCCTTGGTACTACTGTGTCCCATTGATTCTCATCAATCCACCAAGTTTCTATGATGCCTATTATATCAATATCCTCATTTAGTACCAAAAAGAGAAGGAGTACTTGTGGCACCTTAGAGACTAACCAATTTATTTGAGCATAAGCTTTCTTGAGCTACAGCTCAGCTCTTGAAAGCTTATGCTCAAATAAATTGGTTAGTCTCTAAGGTGCCACAAGTACTCCTTTTCTTTTTGCGAATACAGACTAACACGGCTGTTACTCTGAAACCTGTCATTTAATACCAGGCACTCAAGTTCACACACACACCTTAGTATTTAAACTTCTTGTGTTGGTATAAAGAAAAGGAGTACTTGTGGCACTTTAGAGACTAACAAATTTATTTGAGCCTAAGTTTTCGTGAGCTACAGCTCACTTCATCGGACGCATTCAGTGGAAAATACAGTGGGGAGATTTATATACACAGAGAACATGAAACGATGGGTGTTATCCTACACACTGTAAGGAGAGTGATCAGGTAAGGTGAGCTGTTACCAGCAGGAGAGCGGGGCGGGGGTGGGGAGAAAACCTTTTTTAGTGACAATCAAGGTGGGCCATTTCCAGCAGTTGACAAGAATGTCTGAGGAACAGTGAGGAGGCGGGGGGAATAAACATGAGGAAAGTTTTACTTTGTGTAATGACCAATCCACTCTCAGTCTCTATTTGCAAATTAATTCCAATTCAGCAGTCTCTCGTTGGAGTCCGTTTTTGAAGTCTTTTTGTTGTAATATTGAAACTTTTAGGTCTGTAATCAAGTGATCAGAGAGATTGAAGTGTTCTCTGACTGGTTTCTGAATGTTATAATTCTTGACATCTGATTTGTGTCCATTTATTCTTTTACCTAATCACACCAGCCACACTATCAGAGGCTCGTTCACCTGCACATCTACCAATGTGATATATGCCATCATGTGCCAGCAATGCCCCTCTGCCATGTACATTGGTCAAACTGGACAGTCTCTACGTAAAAGAATAAATGGACACAAATCAGATGTCCCGTCCCGCCCCCCGCTCTCCTGCTGGTATTAGCTCATCTTAAGTGATCACTCTCCTTACAACGTGTATGATAACACCCATGTTCTCTGTGTATATGAATCTCCCCACTGTATTTTCCACTGAATGCATCCAATGAAGTGAGCTGTAGCTCACGAAAGCATATGCTCAAATAAATTTTAGTCTCTAAGGTGCCACAAGTACTCCTTTCCTTTTTGCGAATACAGATTAACACGGCTGCTACTCTGAAACCTGTGTTTGTATACAAGCACTTATAAAATCTGTCAATATTTAGTTGTCTGCTTTCACGTGATGTAACTGAATGGAACTCTCTTTCATTTGACTGTTTCTCTTTAGTTCTTATCTGTACTCTATCAACTTCTATCCTCTTCTCCTTACTAAGATTATAGAGTATCCCTTTTAATCCTCCCCAATGGATGTGGTTGTCCAAACCGTGTTTTTCCTCTGCACCTGTTGACTTTCCCCTAGCCCTTGGTTTAAAAACCACTCTACTACCTCTTTAATTTTATATGCCAGCAGTCTGGTTCTGTTTTGGTTTAGGTGGAGCCCATCCCTCCTGTATAGGTTCTTCCTTTCCCAAAAGTTTCCCCATTCCTAATAAATGGAATCTTTCCTCCAAACACCATCAGCTCATCCACACATTGAGACCCTGCAGTTTTTCCTGTCTAACTGGCCTGTGCGTGTAACTAGAAGCATTTCAGAGAATGCTACCATTGAGGTTCTGGACTTTAATCTATTACTTAGCAGCCTAAACTTGGCCTCCAGGACCTCTCACCTCCCTTCCCCCATGCCATGGGTACCTACATGTACCACGACCGTTGGCTCCTCCCCAGCATTGCACATAAGTCACTCTGTCTATGTCTCGAGAGGTCCGCAACCTTCGCACCTGGCAGGCAATTCACCGTGCAGTTCTTTCAGTCATCACAAACGCAACTATCGGTATTTCTAATAATCAAATCCCCCCCATTACTATTACCTGTCGCTTCCCAATAACAGGGGTCCCCTCTCCCAGAGTGCTATCTTCAGTGAGCGAGGATGCCGTTACATCATCTGGAAGGAAGGTTCCAACTATGGGATTGTTTCTGTCTGCTCTAGATTGATGATCTCCTTCCCTGAGACTTTCCTCCTCCTCCTCAGTGGCACAGAGGTTGTTTGAATGGGAGTGGGATCTCTCTCTATTGTGTCCTGGAAGTCTTGTCTAGATTCCTCTTTGTCTCCTTTAGCTCCTCCAGTTCAGCCACTCTGGTCTCAAGACCCTGTACTCTGTATCTGAGGGCCATGAGCTGCTTGCACCAAATGCATATGCATTCCACCTGCCCACAAGGCAGGTACTCATACATGATGTATTCAGTGCAGTAAACTGGATAGCCCCCACTCTGTTACTGGACTTCTGGCTGCATTGTTTGTATGGTTTCTGGGGGGTTTTGTGTGTGTGGTTTTTTGGAAGGGTTGGGTGGGGAGAGAGTGTTTATTGGCCTAAATTTAGAGAATTTGTTAGGTGTATTTGGCTCTCCATGCTTGCTCTCTAAACTCCCATGCAAAAGCCTCCTGTTTGCTAGCTCCTCTGGTCACTTATAAGCTGGCTTTTTAAACCCCTGGTCTCTGCGTTAGCCCCACTCCTTTGTCAGGGCATCCTAAAGGGATTAGGGATAAAAGGATGGCAGGCTAGAGCCTTGTTAGGAAGTTCTCAGCTTGGCCTAGCAGGCAGCTAGGCTCAGCACAGAGCCCCCCAAACACACCACCTTATAAACTTCAATGAATCAGGCACACAGCAAGCAAACATGCACACAACGACAGACAACAAACTCACCCCAAGGTTCACGTAGTTGCTCCTCCTTCACCTGGAGAACTCCCTTGTAAAACTCTCTTGTTTGCTGCTCCTTTGGGCTGCTCGGTGTCCTATGTGAAAAGAGTTGGTGGTCTAAGCCACTGGTTCTCAACCAGGGGTACGCAGAAGTCTTCCAGGGTTACACCAACTCATCTAGATATTTGCCTAGCTTTACAGCTGGCTACATAAGCCCTAGTGAAGTCAGTACAAACTACAATTTCATACAGACAATGACTTGTTTATACTGCTCTATATACTATACACTGAAATGTAAGTACAATATTTATACGGCAATTGATTTTTTTTAAATTATATGAATAATTTGAAATGAGAAAGTCAGCAATTTTTAAGTAATAGCATGCTGTGACACTTTTTTTTATTTTTATGTCTGATTTTGTAAGCAAGTGGTTTTTAAGTGAGGTGAAATTTGAGGTACGCAAGACAAATCAAACTCCTGAAAGAAGTACAGTAGTCTGGAAAGTTTGAGAGCCACTGATCTAAGCCCCATAAAACCATCATCCCAGTTTTGTGGTTAATTAGCACTCTGGTTGGCAATTTCAGCAGACAGGCCAAGGAGCAAGTTGGCATGCAGGATGAACTACAGCAGAACCCTGTTTATCTGATCTAATTGGAACCGGGCCCAGATCGGATAATCCAATATTCGGATAATCCGGAGAATGGGAAGGTGCGAGGCTGCAGCACCGTCTAGTGGCCACAGATGAGATTGCTTACTTCTGGACCTGTGTGCGCTGGTTGTTCAGTTAATATGGAGAGCTGGATAACAGAGGGTCGGATAAACGGGGGTCTACTGTATGTTGTTTCTGCAGATTGTCCCTAAGGGTAGAGCCCTGTGCGGGTACAAAATTGGTATCTGTATCCAATCCGCAAACATGGTCTGTGGATATAAAGTGGATATCTGCAGATTTGCAGGGCTTTAGCTGTAAAATAGGATCCGCATCCATCCGCAAACATGGTCTGCAGATATCCGCAAGTTCACGGGACTCTACTTAAGGGTCATGGTTGTGTCATACAAGCAGGGCAGTGTGCAGGAAGCCTGTAAAGCTGCTCTGTTGCCCCGCTGTACCTGGTCTGTGGACATTTTAGTTTAGACTCTCTAGGCTGTCAGTTTGATCCATGTCACCAGCTCTCAGCTAACTAATAAATGAATAATGAAACAATGTATACTTTTTTGGCATCTAGGTAATAGTCCTCCCCTTAATCCTCTTCCAGGTCTGTTCTATACATCCAGACCTCATTGTGAATAATAGATCTGCACTGCACACTGAAACTTTGCTTCTGAACATCCTCATGATGGTTCTCTTTTTAAGTAATCATTACTTCCCCTGTTGATGAAGTCACAAGGGGAATTGCTTTGGTCATTTTCAGCCAACTAACCTGATATCTGCCAAGGTATGAAATTCAGAACAATTCTTCTGAGATTTAATTTTGTGAATCCCATCCTGTTTTATCAAATTATGTGGGAGTTCCCTGTTATAATGGCTGTTACTCCCTTTCCAAAGTGCTTGGTTGAAGACTATTTCTTGCCCTCTTTTTGTGTATGTGCACAAGCTGAGAGTTAGCTTGTTCCTACAGTGTCCTCAAAAACATTAGCAATCGTACCAAGGTGGTAACTGCTTCATGAATACTTAGGTGGTTAATCTCAACATGCTTTTTTCTGTATTCTCTTACATTTTATCTTTGAGTTCAATATGGGATAGACTCAATCTAAGATTTTTAAGACATATAGATTTATTTCTACACTTTTCCTGCATTGCCATGCCAATTGAGACTATTTGGTGGCTTTCTCCTTACTCTTCACTAAA